ATAAAAAATGCTGCAGTCAGGCCGGCCCGTGGCTCACTCGGGAGAGTGTGGTGCTGATAACACCAAGGCCACGGGTTCGGATCCTATATAGGGATGGCTGGTTAGCTCACTGGCTGAGCGTGGTGCTGACAACACCAAGCCAAGGGTTGAGATCCCCTCACTGGTCATCTTTAAAAAAAAAAAAAAAATGCTGCAGTCAACATGCTTGTTGGAATTGCTTGATTATAGGGGTGTGTTTGTCTTAAACTTTATATGGCATTGACATATTCATCTCTGATTTAGTTGTACTAATCTACACTGTCATAAGCAGTATATGAGAATCTCATTTCCCCATATCCCTTCAACACTTGATATTGTCATGAATTATACTTTTGCCAATCTAGTGGTTTTGATCTCAGCTTTGTTCTATTTAAAATCTCCCTGATTACTATGTGATCGTGCATCTCTTCTAATGTTCCTCACTTAGAATTGTTTGTTCATATATCTGTTAGATATCTTCCATTTGCTCTTCCAGATCCACTCTCCTCTTTCCTCCACCCTGCACTGTGCCCACAGGCTGACCTTTATGGGCCGCATAAAGGCTCCCTTGCCCTCCGGCTTCTGGTTGAGTCTGGCCAGTGGGAGAGCTCCATCTCTTCCAGATTGAGAGGTGACTGTGGCTGAGTTCCTCTATCAAAGGCCACAAGTTCTGTCCAGAAATTCTCTTCTATATAGCTATGTTCCTGTAACCACTCCATGCTCTTACCTTGGTAGGAGGTAACAGATCCCCACAGTTGCCAGCCCCAGGATATTTCAAAATCCCTCGTTGATGTAATAGTTAGTCAACTATTGCTACAATAATAATGTATAAGAAATTTCCCCAGTATTTATAAGTCATTTGTTCTCCTTGTTCATGTGCTATGGGTTATATGTTTCAGGATGCAGCTAGGGTGGGCTTGACTCTAGGATGCAGATTATGTTCAGATCTGCATCATGTGGAATCACTGTGTGGCCCCGAGCTGAAGAATCAGCAACTACTGGGGGCATGCTCTTCTCATGGCAATCAGAGGAGAGCAAGAAGACAAGCAAAACCATGCAAGCATATTTAAATCCTCTATTCACATCATGCCTGCTCATGTTCCCTTGACAAAAGCAAGTGATAACCAAGACTGGAGTCAGTGGAGCAAGGTAGTACACTCTACCCCAGGAGGTGAGGGGGAGTGGAGAGGGAATATTTGCAGAACAGTTATTCAATCTATCACAATTTCTCTTAACCCTACCCATACCCTCATACATAGTCTCTTCCTTCAGGTCCCCTCATTTACCTCATTTGTGTGCACCATCTGTTTCTTGGTGGGATTATATCCTTCTCACAAATTTCTATAGTTTTTCAAGGTCATGTATTAATCCCACCTCCCTCTCCCCTGCCTTTTATAGCAGCCTTTTTTCTTTCCTTTTTTTATGGGCATCCCCCTCCCCAAAGGCCCTACTCCATCTCTGGCATTAACCTCTCCTCACCTCTTGTGACCTATACTAACACCCTAGTATGTATATTTCTATGTTTTTCTTCTTACTTAGCTTATCATGTCTGTGTGTGAGTGTATTTCTTTGTAGGCCTTTTTGGGTTAGTATCTATTTAACAAAACTCAGCCACATTATGCAGTTTTCCGCACATCGTGTTTCTTTTTTAAAAATTTTTTAAATGTATTATTAGAATATTCATTCTTACATATCATGATATATCTTTTTTTTTTTTTTAAAGATGACCAGTAAGGGGATCCCAACCCTTGACTTGGTGTTGTCAGCACCACGTTCACCCAGTCAGCAAACCAGCCATCCCTATATAGGGATCCGAACCCGTGGCCTTGGTGTTATCAGCACTGCATACAGGCTGGCCCCAATATTTCTTTATGTCCTTTGCCCGACCTATCACTTCCCAAACCCTCTCCCTCCCTCTTCCCCATCTCTAGTATCCTTAGGTTTGTTCTCTCCTTCTGAAAGTTCAATATATTGTTGTGGTTTTTTTCTCTTTCTTTCACTCCTTTCTTCTTCCCTCCTTCCTTCTCTTCTTCCCTCCCTCCCTTCCTTGCGGCCAGTTATGAGTGAGAACATGCGGTATTTGTTTGTCTGGCTTGTTTCACTTAATATAATTTTCTCCAGACTCATCCATGTTGCTGCAAATGGCAGAATTTCATTCTTTTTTATGGTTGAGTAGTATTCCATTGTGTATCACATTGTTTTTTAACAAAACCTTGTAAAAATTTCTCCAAAGCAGCTAGCATAGGTCTATAATGCTGAATTATATTTCATGGTGTTGATTCCATCTTTCTATTGCTGGGTGAATTGGATGCTATAGTGTGCTGTCCAGATCCCACCTATAGGACTGAGGCACTTATTCCCCCAGGTGCTGGGTGTGTAGGCTTCTGATAGTCACAGCTGAATCACTCTCCAGGAATTGCTATCAGTATAAGGGGTACATCACCTCCTCCAGGTCCACATCCAATGAGTAGTCAATGTGGAGGTACAGAGGCCTGGCCTTCTTTCCTCAATTCAGAACATTTATGAATGGCCATCTCAGGTTTAGATATCCCTGTGCAGTCGGGTGAGGCCTCTATTGTAACTGCATGTTTCTTCAAATTCTCCCTCTGCTCAGTCCTGCTTCCCTCAGTTCATTACAAGTGTTGTTCATGACAGTCTGTTTTGGAGGGAACTTAAAGTTTAATATTTGGTGCTAGGAGAGGGAACTTAAAGTTTAATATTTGGTGCCCTAGGAAGCAGATTATGAAATAGAATTTTGGAGCATGATTACCTGCCAACTGGCTAGAAATGAGAACTACTGAAGGCAAAGGAAGTACTGACAACCGCTTTTACATGGTAGTGGTGCAATTGTCAAAATTTTCACCAGCGGTGAACTGAGATGGGAAACCAATGGAAGGAAATTTACTGGCAGGTGTAATATGTCAAGAGGTTCAGAGGTTCAGAGGAAGTAATAATTATAAAGATTATACAATTGAATGGTTGTTACTAGTGGCTATCGATGGATGAACCGTAGAAAGACAATGAAAGGCTAAGGGTGATTAATCACCAATTTAAGGTAAAGTTGAAAGCAAAAGGGTCTCATCTCCTGCAGGCAGAGAGCAGCGAAGCCTAAGGATTGGGTTTGTAGGCAATAGTCCTGTTTGTAGTGTAATAACAGTCCATTTTTGTTTTCCACTCACATATCAAGCCAGTCCATCCATGAACTAAGCCCAGCCTTTTCCCACTGCTTTGAATGTTCTGGGAAAATCACACAAATTAAAAATAAGGCAGAGAGCCGGATGCATGATCTTTCAACATCACAACAAAATGCTGTCCTATGAGACCATCTAAAGATCATGAGTCTCTTGGGATATTTATTTATTTATTTTGTTAAAAGATGACCGGTAAGGGGATCTCAACGCTTGGCTTGGTGTTGTCAGCACCACGCCCAGCCAGTGAGCCAACTGGCCATCCCTATATAGGATCTGAACCCGTGGCCATGGTGCCATCAGCACCGCACTCTCCCGAGTGAGCCACGGGCCGGCCCCTCTTGGGATATTTAAATTTAACCAAGAACAATTGATAGAGAAGAGGCTTATTACAGCTCTGTACATTTAAGAGGTTAGCCTACAGAAACAGTAAGACGTAATGCTTTTCATTCTGCCCATTAGGGAAAGTTATAATTTTACTCTCCTACAGGTCATCAACCAGGTATGTACCTAAATGAATAATCACTGTTCTTCACTCCTTTCCCTATTACCTAGATATTCAAGGATCTATAAACATAAATGCTTTTTTAAAAGCACTTCTGCAATTATTATGATTCCTTACAACTCATTCAATAAAACTTTGACAGATGTTCACTAACTTATGTGTGGGCTGTATGCTTCATAACGATTTAAGATATGTGCTTTCAAGCTATTTTTTAAAAATAAAGATACTATTTCTTAAAACTTTCTTACATCTCTTCCTATAGCCTTGGCCAAAATCGGATTAATGTCCATTTCCTAAAGGAGCTGACTGGTTTAGAAGATTCATCATCTGGGATTAAATGGCCGCCAGTGGGGACTCCATCCCCAGGATCACCACAGGACTCTATTTTTGCAGTTTTAGAATGCAAGAGTCAACATCAGCCATAGACATAGCTTCGAAACAAGACACGGACCCCATGTACAGGGCCAGGGAGGGCAAGGTGTCAAAGTCCTTGAGACTCAATCTCTTTTTTAATAGTGTCTGACATTTATTGAAAATAAGGAAAAGACGTTTGTACAGGTAGTGTACAAAAGCTGGGCAGAGTGAAGGGGTTATCGTGTTGAACAAAAGGCACACAACAGATAGACAGCTGCAAATTCAGAAGAAAAGTGGAGGCTGGGAAAAACTAGGTCACGGGAGAAAATGAGTGACTCGATTTGGCTGCCAGAAACACAAGAGGTCTCTGGGAGTACGGAAGGAATGGGTCCCGCTGAAGGTGAAAGGCTGGCTGGGCCCTTCAGGGGGGCGGCCAGCTGTCTGAGTCACTGTCCAAGGGCTGTGGCCAGCTCAGATACCTCCGAGGTGAGTCCAGACCAGTCAGAGCGGCACTCTGCGATGGGATGCGGTGGATGGCGATGGCGGCGGCAGCGCAGATCTGTGGGCAGATGGATGTAGTTGTCCGACGGGGGGCTGTTGGCCGCGGCCGAGCTGTGGGTGATGTGTCCGGTGTGTAACGGGAGCCCAGCTTGCAGCTGGAGCACAGGACGGCGTCCAAATGTACATGGGAGGGAGGGGCTGTGCTGGGGAGAGGGCGGCGGCGCGCTCCAGAGCGAGGCCCAGAGGCAGCCGCGGGAGCCTGGAGAGCTATTCCTGGAACAAAGGCAAGCACCACGCGGGAGGGGACGGCAGCGCAGGGAGATCAGGGCGACTCAAGAGGGGAGGGAGGCGCGGCGGGAAGGCGCCTGTGGCGACCCTGGCGGCGGCGGCGACTGGCGCAGGGGACCCTCCCCAGAGCACCCGCCCAGGCCCGAGGGTCTCCCCGCCTAGAAGTCCTCGTCCTCCTCCCATCCAAAGACCCGCTTCATCTCGGCCAGGAAGCCCCGGTAATCGTTGAGGAGGGGGCTCTCCTTCTTGATGTAGGGGATCACCCACTGCAGGGCCGGCCCCGTGAGGCGGGTAATGAGGAACGTCACCTTCAGGGCGTCGCTGGAGAACGTGTTCTCGTCCACGAACATGTAGGAGCCCGTCTGCACGATGAACTCCGGGAGCCGGTCGGTATCGCCGTCAAACGTCTCGGGAAAGGGAATCGGGTTCCTCCACCGACGCGCCGCGGGCCGGATGGGCAAGGCCAGGAGGGCCTTCATCAGCTGCACGCGACCTTCCATCTCGCCCCTCTAGCTCAGCTACGCTGCGCCAGGCTGCACCGGGGTCCGCCAGGGTCAGCTCCGAGGTGTCACCGGAAGTGCGTGCCCACGGAGGCGGGCCCAGGCTCCGGGCGGGATATGGGCGGAGCCATGGGCATAGTCATGGTCCCTGAGTGGGCTCCGCCCACAAGGCCGGGGTTAGCCAGTTCGCAGGTTCGTCACCAGCGCACGCACAGGAGGAGAACCCGAGGGTGGGCCTGACACCCTCGAGGAGGCGTGGTCGGAGTCAGAGGGGCGTGGTCAAGGTTTTCCAAGGGGGTTTCCGCAGACTAGGATTGTGGTGAGGTGGGATCTCGCTCTGCTTGGGTGGTAGGGTGTATAAGTGCTCTGGAGCGCCTGGTGTATCTATTCCCCGTCGAGCACTATCTGCCCTTCTTTGTTCCTTCGCAGACCCTCGGCCTTGACACTTTAGAATATTATTGATCATTTTGTAAAATGACCTTCAATTTGCTTTTATCTGATGCTTTCTCATAATTAGAATGTGTTATGTTTGCCAAGCATACCACAGAAGAGATACTGTGTCTTAGTATATCATACCGACGTGTTCATGATGTCAGTATATTTTATTACTGATGATGTGTACCTTGATCATTTGGTTGCCATAGATAACTTTGAATACAATTGGGTTGGCTGGGCTATAAGCCCTGAGGAATAGGGTAGCAAGCACTTCTGCCTGCATCCATACAAACTATTCAGTAAAAGGGTCCTACCAAGGCAAGTAAATATGAAATATCTTGCCTATAAAAATTTAAAGATGCCCTCCATGAATTTTATCTGTTTCTTTAGAGTGGGAAGTGAAATAAGTCAAATGCATTTTCTGTCTCTACTGTGATGGTCATATGGATCTTCTCTTTGTATTTGCTTCCTATTGTTGTATTTACAAATTTAGTGGTCCAAAACCACACAAATTTAACGTCTTATGGTTCTGTATGTCAGAAATTAGGTCTGGGTATTACCAAACCAAAATCATGGTATTGGGAGACTATGTTCCTTTCTAGAGACTCTAGGGGATAGTCTCTTTCCTGTTCATTATGGCTATTGGCAGAACTAATTTCTTTGAGGTTGTAGGACCAAGGTACCATTTTCTTGCTCTGTAAAATGAGAGCCATTCCCAGCTTCTAGAGGCTTCCAGATTTATTGACTCATGGTCTCCTTCCATCTCCAATGTCAGCAATGGTGGGTGGAGTCTTTCTCATGTGGCATCTTTCTAACCTAGCCTGCCTCTCTCTTCTACTTTTAGAAGGTATCATGTGATTAGATAATCCAGGATACTCTCCCTATTTTATTTTATTTTATTTATTTATTTTTATTTTTTTTAAAAGATGACCGGTAAGGGGATCTTAACCCTTGACTTGGTGTTGTCAGCACCACGCTCAGCCAGTGAGCGAACCGGCCATCCCTATATGGGATCCGAACCCGGGGCCTTGGTGTTATCAGCACCGCACTCTCCCGAGTGAGCCACGGGCCGGCCCTCTTCCTATTTTAAATTCAACTGATTATCAACTTCAGTTCCATCTGCAACCTTATTTCCCTCTTGCTTTATATTCTCAAATTCTGGGGATTAAGACTCAGACATCTTTGGGGAATTGTTATTCTGTCTACTACATTTTTCTTCTCAGTTAGTATAGAAAATTATGCTTGGTTTTTGGTTGATAAAACAACTTTGCATTCCTGGGATAAACTTCATTTAATCACTATGTATCATCCCTGTAATACATTGCTAGATTAGGCAATTGGATAAATGAATTATGGCATATTCATACAATGGAATTCTGCAGAAGTAGACACAACAATATGGATGAATGTTACATATATTACATTGAGTATAAGATATGAGGCACAAAATAGTATATACTTTATGATTCCACCTTATGTCAATGTCAAGAATAGGCAAAACTAAATGCTTATGGAATTCAGAATAGTGATTATCTCAGGGTTGGGGAAATTATAGTCTGTAAAGTTGCATTGTTGTGAGGCTGTCGCATGGAAAAAGGACCAGAACATCCAATTGAGAATTTAAAAAGTGGGTCTTTATTAGCTGGCCAGCGACTGTCTTTCCAGATATTCTGGTAAGAGAACAGCCCCGTGTCTAAGTTTAAGGGGTCTTTTAAAGGCACACAGTCACACAGGCAAAAAAAAAAAAAAAAAATTATATAGTCACACAGTCAAAGTTATCATATAATCATACACATTCCCTCCTGGTGTGAGGAGGGAGGGGCTTTGGCGAGGCCTAATGCAAGCTGGTTACAGAAGCCAAGATAAACCAGTTAATCACTTAGGGACAGCAAAAACTTCCCGAGGGCAGTTTCCTCCCTAGGGTGTCTGGATGCATCCGGATATACAGCTCTTGGTTTTATCAGCCAGGAACAGCATAGGTGGGAAACAGCAAAGGCAGGCAGAATTTAAAATTTTTCTAAGTACAGGACAATTTTTCACCTCCAATTTTCACCACAGGTGTTGGGGGGGGGTTTCAAACAAGAACACTTTTCAAAAAGTAAAAATGGCATAAGCTAAATCAATCTACCTTGTCACAGCATGAAAGAAGCTTAGAAGGTGCTAAAAATGTTTTCCGAAGTGGCTGTAACGTTCTGTATTTCCACCAGCAATATATGAAGTTGCTCCACAAATTCAATAACATTTAGTAATGTCAGGTTTTGTTTTGTTCTGGGTTTTTTGGTTCGTTTTCTCTTTTTTACTTTAGCCATTCTGATAGGTGTGAAGTGGTAGCTCATTGTAGTTTTAATTTGCAATTTCCTCATTATCAATTATGTTGAACAACTTTTTGTGTGCTTATTTGCCATACATTTATCTTTTTTAGTGAAATGTCTGTTCAAATATTTTCCCCATTTATAATCAGGTTGTTTCCTTTCTTATTGTTGAGTTTTGAGAGTTCTATATATATCCTATATTCAAGTCTTCATTAGATATATGATTTACAAATATTTTCTCCCAGCCTTTGCCTTGTCTTTTCATTCTCTTAGTGTCTTTTGAAGAATGCAAGCTTTTTAAGTCCAATTTATCTAATTTTACTTTCGTGCATTATGATTTTGGTGTCATAGCTAAGAAATCTTTGCCTAATCTAAGGTTTCAAAGGTTTTTTTAGTTTTCTTCTGGGAGTTTTATGATTTTAGATTTTATCATTAGGCTTATTAACCATTTCTAGTTAATTTTTGTGTATGATGAGACATGGATCGAAATTTGTTTTTTTATAAATGGATATTTAGTTGTTCCTGTATCATTTTTGAAGGGACTATTCTTTCTCTATTGAATTTCCTTTACGACTTTGTCAAAAAATAGCAGTCTGGGCCGGCCTGTGGCTCACTCGGGAGAGTGCGGTGCTGATAACACCAAGGCCCCGGGTTCGGATCCCACATAGGGATGGCCGGTTCGCTCACTGGCTGAGCGTGGTGCTGACAACACCAAGTCAAGGGTTAAGATCCCCTTACCGGTCATCTTTTAAAAAAAAAAATAAATTAAAAAAAAAAAAAATAGCAGTCTATACGTGTGCGGGTTTATTTCTGGATTCCACATTCAGTTCCATTCATTAATTTGTCTATCTTAATGACAATACGATGACATCATCTTAATTACTGTAGCTTTATCATAAATCTTGAAATCAAATAGTATTAGTCCTCCAACTTATTTCTTCTATTTACGAGTTGTTTTTGCTATTGTATGTACTTTGCATTTCCATATGAATTTTAGAATCGATTGGATGTTTTCTATATATTTTTTAAAAATAAGCCTTTTTAAAAAAATTATTATTATTATTATTTTTTTTTTAAAAAAAGATGACCGGTAAGGGGATCTCAACCCTTGGCTTGGTGTTGTCAACACCACGCTCAGCCAGTGAGCAAACCGGCTATCCCTATATAGGATCCGAACCCGTGGCCTTAGTGTTATCAGCACCACACTCTACCAAGTGAGCCACGGGCCTGCCTTAAAAAATTATTTTTAAAATTTTTATTTATATTTATTTTTTGGAGGTACAGTGTGTTATTTCAACACATGCATATACTACACAATGTTTCACTTAACAGCAGATAGCAGTTTTGTACCTGTTAGTCTACACCTTATTGGATCACTTTTGGGAGAATTGATTTCTTAACACTATCCAACTGTGATGGTTAATTTTGTGTATGTTTGACTAGCTTAAGGAATACATAGAAACCTAGTAAAGCATTATTTTAGGGTGTGTCTATGAGGATTTTTCCAGAAGAGATTATCACAAGAGCTTGACTGGACTGGGTGGAAAAGATCTGCCCTCAACACGGGCAGGCACCCTCCAATCTCCTAGAGGCCCAGAGAACAAAAACGGAGGAAAAGGTGAATCTCTCTGTCTATTTCCACTGGAGCTGGGATACACTCTTCTCTCCTGTCCATGAACATCTGAACTCAAGACTCATCAGCCTTTGGGTTTAAGAACTTACACCATCAGCAGCCCTACTCTTAGGCCTTTGGCCTCAAACTGAGAATTGCACTATGGGCTTCCCTGGTTCTGAGGCATCCAGACTTGGACTGAGCCACGCTACTGGCATCCAGTTTGCAGATGGCCTGTTGTGGGACTCCTCAGCCTTCACAATTCTGTGAGCCAATTTCCCTAATAAATCCCCTCTCGTATATTTATATGCATGTCCTATTGGTTCTGTCTCTCTGGAGAATCCTACTATACAACCCATGAACATATATCTCTCTATTACTTAGATATTCTGTAATTTATATCAAGGATATTCTGTAGTTTTCAGTATATAAATCTTTCACATCTTTTTCATATTTAGTCCTAACTTTTTTACATTTTTATGGTGTTTAATTTTTTGTTTCAAATTTCTCATTTGTTACTAGAAATACAATTGATTTTTGTATATTCTCCTGTGTCCTATAACCTTGCTAAACTCACTTATTACTTCTAGTATTTTTTGTAGAGCCTAGAGAATCTATTTTCTATATACATCATAGTGTTGTCTAAGAATGTCAAGTTTGCCTTCTTTTTGTCCAGTCTTGATGCCTTTTATTTCTTTTTCCTTTCCCAATTTTGTTTTCACTTATTGCACTGTCTAGAACCTCCAGTACAATATTTTACTGAAGTGGGGAGAGTGAGCATACCTGTCTTGTGCTTGATCTAAGGGCGAAGTGTATTCTGTCTTTCACCTTTAAGTATGATGCCAGTTTTAGGTTTTTTTGTAGATGTCCTTCATTAGATTTAGGAGTTCCCTTCTATTTCTAGTGTGATGAGAGTTTTTATTAGGAACAACATGACAGAAATCCCTTTTTCTAGGCGTTTACCCTAGAGAGATGAAAACATGCTCACACAAAAATCTGTATGAGTGTTTATAGCTGATTCATTTTTACTTACCAAAACCTGGAAACATGCCAAATGTCCTTCAAGGGGCATACCGAGTGACCTTGAGGTAAGAGAAAAAAAGAGTAAATGGATGACCAAACCATGGTATATGCATACTGTGGCAGACTCTAAGGTGGCACCCACCTTCCTAACCTCCTGGCCATGCCTTTGAGTTTGGGTGGAGACTGTGATTTACTTCTAACCAACAGAATATGGAAAAGGTGATGCGATGTTACTCCCATGAGTATGTTCCATTATACATGACTCTATCTTGAAAGCAGACTCACCCTTCCTCTCCTGCTGGCCATGAGGAAGCAAGCTGCAGTGTTGTGAACTGCCTATGAACAGGGCACCGTGGCAGAGGATTGCAGACAGCTTTCATAACAAATTAAGACATTTCTTAACATTTAACCCTTCTCACATTAACTGGTCATGGTATGTCATTCTTTAAATATGCTGCTGTGGATTATGTTTGCTAATATTTGGGAATTTTCCCTTAATGCTTCAAGACAACAGCATCAGTAACCAGCGGTGCAATGCTTCTTTGGCTGAACGATTGATGAAAAAGCAGGAAAATGTGTTCCCAGAACCTCACTCAAGTGGTGTCCAGAGCCCAGGGTCCGCAAAGGAATACACCAGGGCTCATGAGTGAGGGGCCAGGAGGGGCACAGTGGGCTCATCAACTTCCAGAAGTTGGGTCCCAAGCTCCGCAGGGTAGCCACTCAAACCTCCCCATACACTCCGGCAGCGGTTCTGTTCCCCTCCCCTGCTCTACGCCCCTCGCCGGCGGCCACCCTGCGGAAATCGCGGTCCCGCCCCTCCGATTTCGACCCCGCCTCCCCGAGTGCGTTGCGCCCGCCTCCTCGTTTATTCTTTTGCCTGCATTTGCCTGGTGACACGCCTGCGCAATAGCGACCACCCTGGGGCTCACGAAGGCAGCGGAGCCCCGTCCGTGGCCCCGCCCACCACGGTCCTGGACCCGCCTCCATGGGTACGCACTTCCGGCGACGCCTCAGTACTGACCTCTGCGGAGCCTTGCGGAGCCCTGCGCATCCCTGCCGAGTCCAGCGAAGCCCAGCGAAGCTAGCACGGCGCGATGGACGGTCGGGTGCAACTGATAAAGGCCCTCCTGGCCTTGCCCATCCGGCCCGCGGCGCGTCGGTGGAGGAACCCGATTCCCTTTCCCGAGACGTTTGACGGCGATACCGACCGGCTCCCGGAGTTCATCGTGCAGACGGGCTCCTACATGTTCGTGGACGAGAACACGTTCTCCAGCGACGCCCTGAAGGTGACGTTCCTCATTACCCGCCTCACGGGGCCGGCCCTGCAGTGGGTGATCCCCTACATCAAGAAGGAGAGCCCCCTCCTCAACGATTACCGGGGCTTCCTGGCCGAGATGAAGCGGGTCTTTGGATGGGAGGAGGACGAGGACTTCTAGGCGGGGAGACCCTCGGGCCTGGGCGGGTGCTCTGGGGAGGGTCCCCTGCGCCAGTCGCCGCCGCCGCCAGGGTCGCCACAGGCGCCTTCCCGCCGCGCCTCCCTCCCCTCTTGAGTCGCCCTGCCACAGATCTGCGCTGCCGCCGCCATCGCCATCCACCGCATCCCACCGCAGAGTGCCGCTCTGACTGGTCTGGACTCACCTCGGAGGTATCTGAGCTGGCCACAGCCCTTGGACAGTGACTCAGACAGCTGGCCGCCCCCCTGAAGGGCCCAGCCAGCCTTTCACCTTCAGCGGGACCCATTCCTTCCGTACTCCCAGAGACCTCTTGTGTTTCTGGCAGCCAAATCGAGTCACTCATTTTCTCCCGTGACCTAGTTTTTCCCAGCCTCCACTTTTCTTCTGAATTTGCAGCTGTCTATCTGTTGTGTGCCTTTTGTTCAACACGATAACCCCTGCACTCTGCCCAGCTTTTGTACACTACCTGTACAAACGTCTTTTCCTTATTTTCAATAAATGTCAGACACTATTAAAAAAGAAATTGAGTCTCAATGACTGACACCTTGCCCTCCCTGGCCCTGTACATGGGGTCCGTGTCTTGTTTCAAAGCTATATGCCCTACCTGTCTATGGCTGATGTTGACTCTTGCGTTCTAAAACTGCAAAGATAGAGTCCTGGGGATGGAGACTCCACTAGTGACCATTCAATCCCAGGTGATGAATCCTATAAACCAGTTAGGATTGTTCCAAGCCTCTTAGGAAATGGATCTTTACCTTATTTTGGCCAAGGCAATATGAGAAGTCAGCTAGGGGATGTCTTGGAACAGGTTTCATGTCCAAAAAGTGGTTTGAAAGCACATGTCCCAAAATATTACAAACCATTGATTCTACACAGAATGTTGGTGAACAGCTGTCAAAGGTTTACGTAAGCCATTATTGAGGGAACTAACAAAATGAAATAAGTGCTTTTACAAAGCATTTATACATCCTTTATTATATAGGTACTGGGGGAAAATGAAATGAGATTGTTATTTTAGGAACAAACCTGGTTGATGACTTGCAGGACAAGAAAACAATATATAAACTTCCCTATTGGGCAGGAAAACTCACTTTTTATGGTTTAGCTGCAGTTTAATCTCTTAGATTTATACTACTGTAAAAATCCTACACTTCCTCACCAATTATTAGTCAATAAAGTTAAATACCTTAAGTCAGATGATACACGTGGGCTTATAAAGCAATGTTCTGATGTGATGTTAAAAGGTTGTGTGATGAACTTTCTGCCCCATTTCTAAGTTTTGGTGATTTTCCAGAAAGTGGGAGAGAGAAATGAATCATACCAGTGTTTCTTCACTGTTTTCCTGTCTCTCTCTCTTCATTTGAACAGGTAAGATTTTGCTATTTGTCTTAGTCTCTTTTGTGCTGCTAAGACAGAATATTACAGACTGGGTAATTTGTAAACAAGTTTATTCTCTTAGAGTTCTAGAGGCTGGTAAATCCGAGATCATTTGTTGAGGGCCTTCTTGCTGAATTCTCACAGGCCCAAAGATGGAAGGGCAAGAGAGGGCTAACCCTATGTCTTCACGTGGCAGAATAGTAGAAGTGAGAGGACCCACTTCTGCAAGCCCTTTTAATAATGACAACCCATTAATGACCTAAACACCTCCCCCAAAGCCACACCTCCCAATAGTGTTACATTTAGGGATTAAGTTTCAACATGAACTTTGGAGGGAACAAAACCATTCAAACCATAGCACGATTCATGTGCTGTAGTTTGTAGGGCTGTACATGGAGCTGGAGGCACATTATCTGGTAATATGTCTTAATTATATTTTTGTTCCTCCAATAGGGAAACCATCATTAACTTGCAATTTGGCATGTAATGGTCATAGTTTTGAAGTCAGAGGAAAAATTTCAATTGCTTAGTAAAATGAAGTTTTAATTATTCTCAGGTTCTTAAAACAATTGAAAAGAGGCTAATTATGAGGACCAATTCAAAGAGCTGGCAGTCTGCTTTCCAGTATGGGTATAAAGAACAATGTGTTAAGGATACTCACCGTTTGGTTTTAAACACAGATTCTGCTGAAGCGGTTTGAAAGTGTTTGGAAGTTTACATTACCGAGTAGGTTCAGCATATTCCCTGTGATCTGTGTCCACCTGGCTGTAGAGGTAGGTGGAATGGGCAGGGACTTGCTGGGTGTCCTTTGAACCATGCTGGTAACCCCCTAACCTCCTCAACAACAGTGCCCCTCCAGTTGTCTTTCTCCTGCCAGAATGGCTCTGTCAGGGAATTGTTCCTTGTTCTACACCAATTCTATCATTCCAAGTCCTTTTTGTACTGAGAATGTCTTGGGAAGGGTGAATAGTTTGCAAGAATTAATCATAAACATCTTTGCAAGATTCCATGAAGGGACAGAAGAAATGGTACTCATAAGAGAAGTGAGGGAGTCAGGGGAGCGAGCAAAGAATGGCCTGGGTAGCTAGGGCCACAGCAGAAGATCCTGGGTGTGGCATCCATGTCCTCACAGTGGAGGTGCATGCAGGGCACCCACGGAGAGATGAAACTAACCCAGGGGATTCTCAGCCTAGTCTCTCCCAGGTCTTTCAATAACAAAATGTTTTAGGGCCGGCCCGTGGCTCACTTGGGAGAGTGTGGTGCTGATAACACCAAGGCCACGGGTTCGGATCCTATATAGGGATGGCCGGTTGGCTCACTGGCTGAGTGTGGTGCTGGCAACGCCAAGCCAAGGGTTGAGATCCCCTTACTGGTCATCTTAAAACAAACAAACAAACAAAAAACCAGCTGCCAAAAAGTCAAATTAAATAAAAATTTAAAAATTAGAAAAAAACCTCTAAGGACCCGCATTTTGAAAAATGTTGTTTGAACTGCAGTATTTAGGCATTTCAAACTAACTTACCTAAAAAAGAAAAATTGCATGTTAAGACTCAGATAAGCCAGTTTTCCTTTTTTTTAAAAAAGATGACTGATGAGGGGATCTTAACCCTTGACTCGGTGTTGTCAGCACCACGCTCTCCCAAGTGAACTAACCAGTCATCCCTATATAGGGATCTGAACCTGTGGCCTTGCTGTTATCAGGACCACACTCTCCCAAGTCAGCCATGGGCTGCCCCTCAGTTTTCCTGTTTAATAGAAAGCACACAGAAGGTGGTGCTCTGATGAGATGAGGGGTGGGGCTGCCGGAAGTCAGGTCTTCTCTGGAAGGGTCTGTGTGCAGACATTGAGCTCCTGCTGTGTGCCAGAAGCTCGTGCTGGGGATTCGTCAGTGAAGAAGATAATGATCTTTCGCCTCCTGGAGCTTATGTGGGGTGGCTGTGTGGGATAGAAAATAAACAATATAAGTAATAAGTAAATTAAAAGAAGAAAAGGGAGGTTCTTTTTCATTATTAACAGCAGGGGCTGCTATAACAAAATACCATAGACTAGGTGGCTTAAATAACATTTATTTCTCAGAGTTGTGGAAGTTAGAAAGTCCAAGATCATGGTGTTGGCAGATTTGGTGTCTGGTGAGGGTTCTCTTCCTGGTTTGTAGGCTGCCACCTTGCTATATCTTCTAACATGGCATAGAGAGAGGGCTCTGGTCTCTTCCTCTTCTCATAAAGGGCACTAATCCCACCATGGGGGCTCCACTCTCATAACCTCATATAACCCTCACTAACTCCCAAAGGCTCTACCTCCAAATACTATCACATTGTGGGTCAGGGGCTTCAACATATGAATTTGGGGGGAGGGGAAAGCACAAATATTCAGTCCATAGCAACTACTTTGTAGTCTCACCACCTGCAGTTAATATTCTTGGTTTGTTTCCTCACTTCCTTCTTAGTAATCTATTCTATCCTACACCATGAAGCCACACTTCCAAAGTGAATATCAAAGGAAGGAGAAACAAACTGATAAAAGGAAGATGAATATAAAAGGCATGAGAAAAAAGATGCAGTTAAACTCTTTTTGGTGCTTGAGGCCAATACCTGAAGCCTATAATTAAGATAAAGTTACACAAACTTTGTGGCACACATGCACAAAAAATTTAATATGGGAAATGTACGCACAGAGGGGACAGTGTGGCTTTTGAGTGGTTCAGTGTTCTGATACTTTGGGTTTCAGGGCAATCCTGGTAGAGAGAACCTGCTTAATAAGAGGCCTGAAGGTACAAGTCTCAAATTGTTACAAACCATAATTTTCACACAGCTTGTTGGTGATCACCTGTCAATGTTTTATTTAACTTATTATTCAGGAAACCAACAGAATGACAGAGCTAGTTCAAAAAATCATTTAAAGATCTGTGGGGAAATGAATGCATTAATACGTTTGTTAATTTAGGTACAAACCTGGTCAATGTCCAGAAAAATATCACTCCTTACCATATTTCTACAAAGTAACCTCTTAAATTTACAGTACTGTATTTAAAAAAAAAGAAGTCTCCCTAATCAGTTGTTGGCCAAAGTTAAATATCCTAATAGACTCAGATGATTCTTAGGTAGGTTTATTAGAAAATTCTCTGCCCTGAATATTTAAATGTTATGCAGTCACCTTTTTGTCTTATTTCCATGTTTGGGTGATTTTTCAAAAAAAAATGGAAGGATTAATATAGGTCACACTGGTAAATCTTTACCTTTTTTTCCTTGACAGGTAAGCCTTGCCATCCATTAATTCTGTGTCCTGTGATTTGCTGGGCTGTACATAAAGCTAGAGCTATAATATGTGAATGAAGATTATGAAAACTCATTAATTCAGAAGTTTTCATATGTTAATATAGCAAAGTCCTGTTGAAGTTAATTGAACAATTTGAATTATTTGGAAAATGTCTTATTTTTTATTTCACTTACTGTTTTTTGTTTGTTTGTTTTTTAAGACAGTTGTAACTGGGCTAATAGAGGGGCCAATTTAACTCCTGGAAATCTGTTTGCCTTCATGATAGAGAGAGATAGCTTGATCAAGTCAGAGAGTCACAGTCATGGGGACCTCTCTTCTTTCTCTCCTTGTGGCCATACCTACCCCTGAGGAGCAAGTCCTCTTGGGCCCACCTTGAGCAGCCATTGTCTGATTTGTGGTGGGATCAACAAATAGCCGCCCACTCCAGGCCCCTGAGCAGCCCTAGC